TGCATGCGCACGCACACCACACAATCACCTGTAACATCAGGAGGCACACCCACGCTGCATAGCTATATGCTGAGATTATTTTACTCAGAAAGCCAGGCTGCTATTTTCCTATGAAAATTGGAGATTTTCATCTGCTGATAAACTTAAATTTTCTAAAATGTATTATGGATAAGGAAATTGAGGGCTGGGGGCTAAAAAAGGAACAGGGCTTATACAGTTCAACTACACAAGGCTCTCTGGCACCACACAAAACAGGGACACGACAGAAGAATCCAGCTGCACTAATCTCAGCAAACACTTAAGATACATGGAGGAAACAGAAATCCACCCCCTGACCACTCCCTTCTTCCAGCACGCAGTGACAGAGCACTGGCTCCGTCATACACCAGCTTAGTGACTCGAGATGGACACAGAATGGCCTTGACAAAGCAGCCTGCACAGTGTGTGCCGGGTGTGTGTGAGGTCCAGCAGGGGAAGCCTTCCGTCGGGGCTAGCTACCAGCTAACTGCTCCCAACTAAAAATCTGACTCAGGAGTCCAGATCAGGCCTTGCACACTCAGAGAAGAGCACACAGGGGGAGCTGGGGCGGGTGCTCCATAATGAGAGGCACCACTGGGGGCGAGGAATCAGAGCCTGAGATAATGAAACACCTTGTATCTTTCCAAAGAGGTGAATCATTTTCTTTTAGGTGTCAAATGAATAGCCAAATGTATCACAATCAAAATCTATCATGGAAAAAGCCAGACAGGCACTCACTTCAAATGAGAAGTGGCCTTAACGATGCTGGAGCTAGGGACACTGAGTCACTGGTGTCTAAAGGACACACACTCCCCCACAGCTTCTCTGAGCATTACGAGTTCTAACGAGCTGCAAGTTCACCAGTTTCTAAACACATTTAAGCTCTAGCACATCACGCAGACCTCCTTAACTCTGAAAACCAGTTTATCAGCCTCTCTGCAGAAGCTAGGCTCTGGGAAATGAACCCTGACAGAACTATGTCCCCACCGCTTCAGCCCCACCTTTGCTTTCAGTAGGCAGAGTGCATCTCCAATAGCTGGAGGACCTGGGCACCATCAGAAACCCTTCCAGGAAGATAACTGCCCAGTAGCCTCCCACAAAGTAAGACTGAGTTTACCTGTCTCTTTCTACCTATCGTCAGAGTGCAGACTGAACTCCAAAACATGGAGGCACTAGCTCTGAGGCCAAAGCGAAAGCCACTGCTTTAGTTTTGCTCCAGCTACTAAGGTGTAGAGGTTGCAGGCATTAAAACAAAGAGACATGGATTATGGAAAGCCAGAGGTGGTAAGAACCAAGCTTTTACCCCGGGGGGGGGGGGCAATGGGAGAGGTGGAGAGAAGTTCGCAGCCCCCTGCACAACCCTGAACACACCCACTTTGTCGAAGCCCTAGGCTTGGGCCCTTTGGAACCCACCCGTGACCTCCAGACCCAGGACTTACCGGACACATTGAGAGAGGCCCCGGCATCAATGACCCCACTGTTAGGCCGCACGCAGTACCTGCGCGGCGCTGTGGTCTTCACTTTAAAACACACATTTCTGTCTGTTGGGTTGCCAAGTTTCAGGTTGGTGGTGACGACATCAGTGAAGGGACCTAAGTGGAGAGAGAGACAACCGGTTAGGGTCCTGTGAGGAAAGTTTAGGAGACAGAATGGCTTGGCAGCAGTGATAAGAGCTAGGGTGTGTGAGGAGCCGTCGCTGCCATGTTACAGAAAGGAACACAGCTCAGAAGACAGCAGGCCTGTACCAATGACAGGGTCTAGGACCAGACGGCCCAAATCCAACAATAGTTATTTGTGCTCAATGTGTGCTTCCACAGAAGTCCAACGAAATCTGGCAGAAAACTATATGAAGGCCCAGGCATGGGTCCCCAGTGTACCAGGTGGCAGGTGGCAAGTGACCTCTGGGGGTAGGACTCTATCGAGAGGAAATGCCTAACAGTGTAACTGCAGAGAAGCTGGACTCATTCCGAGCCTTGCTAGCAGCTCTAAGCTCAGGCTCCTGCGAAGCCTAGAGTGGAGTTCTGTGGCCCTGGGCTATTGTTTATTACTATTACTTATTCATTTCCTCCTTTATTAGATTTTTTAATTAAAGAAGTAAAACATGCTTCTTAAAACAAACCAAACAATGAAAGATGTATGCAGAGAAGTTAATAAGCTTCATCTGTGCCTGTGGTAACTAATATCAACCATGTGGGAGCTCATACCACCATCTAGACTTAGTAGCAATGTACATGGTACAGTCCGCACAACTGCTTCTCACTGGCTAATCAGTGGACACCTGATCACTAGGCTTATGGGGGTGGGGGTATCAGATCAGGAGAGGTGAACTGCAAGACCTCTTGTCACGTGCACATGTACGTCTGTGTTAATGCCTGTGTGTTGCTATGGAGCAAATCCAGGGACCCGTACATGTCCAGCCCCTAAATTATATACTCAGCCCTCGATCATTTCAAGTTCACCTATTTTCAACACGAGAGCCACATCTTTGTTTCCTATAGGCAGGCTTTTCAGTTCCGCCTTCATGTTTATAAGGAAGCAGAGGAGGGAAGTGTGTTTCCGTGGTTACAAAGAATATCTACTGGCTCACCTGTCCTGTCAGGAGACCCGACAGACTCTCAAAGGTGTGCTTCCTCAGCTGCTGAGGGCAGGGTCACCCTTTGTCCATCTCCGCTCCTCGCACTGTGTCTGGACACAGTAAAGGTCTCAAGACACATGCACCAAGAGAAAAACTACTCACAGATTATTTCCAGAAAAATGACTGCCTTAGGCTGGCTTCCACTGAGGTACTCAAAGTATGAAGGAACAACTAAATACAGGCTTAGCTTAAACACAAATGGTGGACGGAGATGGAGAGGCTTTAGTCCAAAACCAAGCACACTGCAGCAGTGCACCTACAAGGGAGCACTGATCATCCATACGGGACAGATGTGCACATTAGGGGACACTCTGAACATCAGACAGTTTTCATATTGTGGATGCACATTCTGAAGTCCCAAATACCTGCTGCATCTCACTGTGCAAAACACACCCTCCCTGTTAGCCTCTTGACATGGCTATTCAGCTCACCTCCCTTCACATGCGGCAACCAGCCACAGTCATCCAACTTCAGGTCTCTCAACCATACAGCAACTGCGGGCTGGAAGTCAAGCGCTGTCTCAATACAGGGACCCAGGTAGGTGGCCTTGGCTGTAGCACCTGCTGTTCCATCAGTCTCTCCTCCACTGACCCTGTGGCTCCATTTCCCTGCTCTATATAGCATGGGGGACCACGGGGATGCATGCCTGTGCTGCAGCACACGCAACAAGACGACTGAACCACCCTCTTCTCATTTCACGGGTAACATCTTTGAGATCCAAAGGCCTGAAGAGGATGCCTCCATCTGCCTACCTTTCAGGAGGCCCTGCTCTGGCTCTAGGAACCAGGCTGAAAGCCAGGAAGGGAACTAACCACCTCGCTACCCAGCTGGGAAAGCATGGGAGGCAGCTAACCTGTGCCCAGAAGGTTGACAGCCACAGGGAGTCACAGCTGAGTGCTGACAAGACACCACCCTTGCAACCAGTTCTTGGCCTCTAGGGAGAAACGAGATACTTAGTGCTGAGAACGTCCAGGGGCTTATGGGAATTCTACCTTACCCCACCTCCTTTACAAGCTGGCTGACTCATGGAAAGATGGGAAGGTTGATCCCCCTTTACCTAAGGTGGAAATCACTGCAAGTAAGCAAAGTCTATAAAAAGGAGAGCTAAAAACAGCTTTGGTTTTCTAGGGCCAAAGAAAGTGGTAAGCCTTAGAAGCCTGCATGGGTACAACTTGCCAGGCATGTATTTCACAAAATACGCCAACACTGCTCTGAGAGTGCAGGTGTTCAAGACAGCCAGGGTACGGGGGGGGGGGGGGAGGGAGGAACAAAGTCACCCCTGAAAGGGCCTGTTTCCAACATCAATAGGCCTACAGGAAAAGGGCCAGGCATAGTGGGTCATTTGGGAGGATAGAGGCAGGATCAGAAGTTGAAGGTTATCACCTTTTGGTACATGGCAGGTTCTAAGCCAATCTGGGATGAGTCCTGTCTCAAAAACAAAAAAGACAGACATACAGAGTGGTCATCTGAGCATAGCCCAGTAACTTCCAAAGGAGTGGGCTGTAGAGCTTTCTGAGGAGCTCTGCTGCGAGAGCCCGAAACACCAGCACACCAGTCACGTGACAGACCCGACCACACACAGAGACCTCACGGAGAGCAGAACACTTAAGATGACTGCCCCAGCTCCTAGTGTCTTCCCCCTCTGCTGCCATAAAGCTGGGCCAGGAAGTCCAGGGGCAGAATTCACCGACCTCTTCTAGGACTCTATCCATGAGCCACGTCCCAGTGAGCAGCACGTGGTGGCCAGCTCTCCGGGCCCGCCTATTATGTGGCAATCTAAATGGTGTTTCAATTTACACGAATCACATAAAAGACGGTCTAAATTATTAAAAGACAAGCAATATTGGTAACAGTGAGTGGGATAAAACAAGCGGTATTTCTCCCTCAACACCCCGCCTTGGGTCTGGGCGTTAATTTGTAGCGCTCTAGAGGGAGCCATGCTGGAGATAGATGCAGCGCAGACATTACTGCACAGCTAGAGCAGCAAAGTCTCATGGGTAAAAACCAAGGCAATCCTCCTCGCCCCACTCAGGGCAATTTACTCCAAGAATTTTATTGAAAATAAATTCGATTTGAGTAATTACAGAAGATAAACCATGTTAGTGTTCTCCTTTCTCCTGTACTAATGAATTAGAACACACAAAAACCTCAATAAAAATGATGTGAAGGCTTGTGAGCGTCACTCAGATTTTCCTAGTCGCTTTCATTTCATCAAACTGCCATTCCCATTAAAGCATTATGTAAAAAATGGGATTTACTCCACAACATGCATAGTTATTGCCAATGAATTTAAGCATTGCTTATAAAATACAAAGCCAATTTTACAAACAAAACCTTCAAAAGTTAAGGTTTTTCTTTTCCTTTTAAAAGATGAAAAAAAAAATGATGTGTGCCTCTAGAGCTGGAACACACTGCCTCCTTTAATTACTTTCTTCTGTGTCACCCATCCCTTGGTCCAGATGTCTGTGTGAAATTAGGAATGACACATCTCCAGCATGAACGAGCAGAGAAGCAACCCCAACCTGAAGTAAATTCCCGAAGTGCTTTGACATTTTTCCTTCTATGTCACAGGCGGAATGGGTTCTTCCTTCCCATTACAGCTGTGTGCACCTGCAAGCATTTATTCTGGTTGAAGAAGATGCTCATGAGACAGCATTAACTAACAGAATATGAACTCCTCCACTTGTTCTTGGAGGGACTAGATCCAGCAAAGCACGGCATAAACCACCCCGCACCCTCCCAAGGTCCTACGGCTTCCCTCGCTGTCTTTGTAAAATTACTTAAGAATGTAAGATCTGGATTCCACTTGTTTAAAAAAGCAAAGAACACAGACACAAAAGAAATACGAGTGTTCACAAAAGTAAACAGTGAGGAAGGGGTCCTTCTGTTGCAGGTCACAGGATACAAGCTCAGACTTACAGTCTTATCTTGAAGTTCAAGGGAGAAGGTAAATCACAGTTCCAGGTGCTGAGGATCTCCCCAGAAACAGCAAGATTCAAGTCAGGCAGCGGTGGCTCACATGTGCAATCCCAGAGGCTGAGGCAGAAGGACGACGAGTTCAAGCCAGCCCGAGCTACGGGACGGGACACACAAAAAGAAAATTCCAGACTTCAGAATGAGGTGAAGTCCTGTTTCAGGGAAAAAAAAAAAAAAAAACAACCAAAAAACAGGACAAGACAAGAAAGCTGAACAAGTTGCCAATCAGGAAATGTCCAGGGAACATCTAAGCGCTCCCCCAACCTTTGCAAGGTCTGAGCACTTTGCAGTGCCCAGTGCCCAGAGAGCATCACTGACACAGAACTCCTCCTGTTGGCCCAAACTCCAGCTTCACAACACAGCAGCTAAAGAGTTCCCATCTGGCAACTGTAAAGGCCACAGTGAAAAGTTCAGGAACTCGGGGCCCAGCTGGGTCTTTCTCACCTGCAGACTTAAGCATGTCTCAGGATTCTGTTTGCTAAGTGGCAAGACTATGTGTTGAAGAGGCAAAGAAGGCATTTTATTCTTAACCCACAATTCACTTGTACTAGAAAATAAAGATTAACAATGTCTAAAACAGCCAGGTATAATGGTTCACATCTTTAGTCCCAGCACTCATGAGGCAGAGGTAGGAGAATCTCTTTGAGTAAGTTCAAGGCCATCCTGGTCTACAGAGTAAGTTCCAGGCCAGCCAAGACTATATAATGAGATCCTGTTTCTCAATGAATAAAATAAGTAGATACTAGAGTCCTGGAAGGTAACATGGAAGGAAACCTAAACGACCTGGGACTTGGGAGACTTTTCAGGAAAATAAGCGTGATGGAACCCATGGAAGAAAGAAGTGCCAAGCTGGACTTCATTAAAATTTCAAACCTGTGGGCTGGGCTGAGGTTCTGCAGAAGTGCACTATTATCTAACACTCAAAAAGCCCTGAGTCCCATCCCCAGCACTAAAAAATCAAATAAATGAAAATAAAAACAT